GCCCACCCTAAGCACCACCCCCGGTCAAAAGTTACATATACCCCATACCCTATATCTAGGACAGAGGAAAAGCCAGACTGCTCTCCATTATGGGCTCCTCTCCATGTCCTTTGAATAAAGGCCACTTTTACTTTTATATTCTGCTCCTTTATTGTGCCAAAAAACTCTAACAATTCTAGTGTATTCTATCACAATTGCTTCCCTCTCAGATTTTTTTCTGTGGGATAGAAGTTTATGAATTTGTTTAAAAGATAAAATTATGTGAGGCTGAATCAGTAATAAGAACAATAGAAACAGAGAAATAAATCTAGAAAAAATAGGGTAATGCTTGTGTTTTTGCTTGGAAAGGTAAAGATAGTTCTTTTTTCTCTATAGCATCTGATTCCACAATGAAAAGGACAACCTTTACACAAAATTGCAGATTTTCAAAACAGTTTTCATTTTCCATAGTTTATACTACTGAATTTGAAAAGAAACAATGAAATCTATTAAAATTTTATTCAAGATTGACTTACTTTTGATAGATTTGTTCATAAGGGGATAAAAGCTCACATGATTTTACTGCCAAAATTATATTAATGCAAAAACAAAATTGAAGGGGACCAAGATACGGAGGGAGGGGACAGGAGAAAGGTGGAAGGGACATAAGAAGAATTGATATGTGCTATGTACATGTATCAACTCTTGATTATGAATGTAATCATTACATGTAGCAAACTAATAAAAGCACTCATGCTTGATTCTGAAAAATGAAATTAGAATTTAGCTCTAATAAAATGACAAATTGCAGAACATGGACAAATAGATCAATGGAATAGAAAACAAAACACAGGAATAGATATCCACAAATATATTCAATTATTTTTTGACAAGGAGAGAGGCACGGTGGTGCACTCCTATAAACCCAGCACTTGGGAGGCTGAGGCAGAAAAATCATTTGCAACTTCAAGACCAGCCTGGGCTATAAAGTGAGCCCAATCCCAGCCTAAACTGCATATGGAGACCCTGTCTCAAAAAGACAAAAAAAAATTTTTGACAAGGGAAGCAAAAGCAATTCAATGGTAAGATGACTTTTTACATAAATGTTGCTGGATGAATTGGATATACAATTGCCATGAAATGAACCTTGATCTAAACTTCATACCTTTTTGAAAATTAATGCACAATAAATGCAAAGCATGAAACTACAAAAGTTTAGAAAACAACACAGAAAAAGAACTTTGGAACTTAAGTAAGGCTAGGCAAAATTCTTAGACCTGACACCAAACAACATGAAGGATAAACTTAAAAGTTAATAAATTGGATTTCATCAAAATTATAAAAAAAACTGCCCACAAAGCATTTGACGGGTACTGCTTAAATGGGATACTACCAGCCTTATAATATGATGCCTGCCCAATGTGGTGCTGAACCCTAAAACCACAGCGTGCCCTTCCAATACAAACTTCCGGTGTTCTTCTTCAAAGCCCAAAATAAAATTTCTTCTCTTCTTTCCTGTATAGGCCAAAGACCCTCCAATCCTCTCCCCATACCACGATCCAGTCTCCACCCCCAGCCCAACTCCATAAATGCTGTTTTACAGCTTCCCCTGTTTGAGGGTCCTTGTATCTCCCGCAGCTCTCCAGTGCTGGTAATAAAGTTTTTTTTTAAATCTCTGTATCTCTCAATCACACCAAAAAAACCTAACAATATTCAGTTAAGACAATCAGAAAAACATCCCAATCTGAGGGGAAATATTTATAGTTGCATATCGAATAAAGGCATTTATGTGTATAAGGAACTCACAATAATAAAAATCAAAGCAAATAAACAACCTAATCAAGAACAATCAAACTTGTGTGCTACAGTTCCTGTGGTCGCCATGGAGGCCATGCTATCTACTATTCCAGGATGGTATGATGATGCCCCAAGTGGTGGGGCCACCTGAAGGTTTACAGCAACTGTTATGGACCCAACTGACAGGAATGCAGAATTATCTCTTTAATAAAGAGAAAAAGAGGCGGTTATCACTAACTTCCTAAAATGAGAAATTGAAGTTAAACGTGTTGGGAAAACTGATTCTGGCACTGTCTTTGTGAAGAATGAAAGCATTTTGACTCCTTACATTTGTGCCATGCATTTACATGAGTGGTACACCAGGAAGTTTATTCTTGTTCTTATGGACACACAACCTTGGGACATGTATAAACCATTGAACTAGTCCTGTGACAAAAAGTTTACTGGCATTTTTGTGTCATGATGTTGGGTTGTGTAATACAGTGGGCATTCAAAGACAAATATGTGGTCAGTGTGGTCACAGAAACCTATGATTGTTGGAGCTTTCTTCCATGATGTAGTTTTGGATAAGTGACTGGATGAGTGAATTCCAACAAAAAAGAATCTACATTCCTTCACAGAAAATGCTCATGCTTTAATTTAAAAAGCTCTGCCTTTGAAACTCTGGAAGTTGAAGCAAAACTTGCATTAGAAATATTTCAGCACAAGTACAAAACAGATTTTATAGAACACAGGGCATCTCAGGACCCTGAGAAAATAATGAAGTTACACAGAACAGATGACTTCATTGACATGACTGAGGGTCTTCTTATTCCAAGAACATGGACCCTTCCCCTCCCCTCCCTCCCTCCCCTCCCCCCTTCCCTTCTTCTTTCTTTCTTTCTTTCTTTCTTTCTTTCTTTCTTTCTTTCTTTCTTTCTTTCTTTCTGTCTTTCTTTCTTTCTTTCTTTCTAGTGGAGACTGAACTTATGACCTAGCGCTTGCCAGACAGGTGCTAAGGGCTAAGCTACTAGAAGATCTGAGAAAACTGAAGATCAAACTAAAACAACAGAGGAAAGTTCATCTACCTAAAGACTTTCAAAAATTTAAATATGTACAGTAAGTGAAAAGATTTTACTATAATAAAAAAAGAAAAGAACAAATAAGCCAGGTAAAGTGGCACAGGCCTATAATTCCAGCACTCTGGGAGAGTGAGACAGGAGGATCCAATGTTATAGAGCCCACATAGGGCAATTTATCAACATAGTGAAATCTTGTCTCGAAAATAAGAAAAAGGGATGGAAACATGCAGCTTTGTGAAAAGGTCCTGAATTCAAACCCCAGTGCCACAAAAAGGAGAAATGGACAAAGCACATGCATAGACATTTCACAAAGAGGAGGCAAACATGACAAGTAAATACATGAAAAGACAGTCAACATCATTAGCTATTAAATAAATGAAAGTTACTATGAGATATCACTACACATCTATTGGAATGGCTAATGAAAAATAGTGACAACACCAATTGTTAGGATGTATAAAAACTGAATTATTCATACATTTATGCTAGGAATATAAAATGGTACAGCCTCTGTGGAACTTCATAGGATAGCTGGGCATGGTGGCACACATCGGTAATCCCAGGAGGCAGGGGCAGGAAGATTGCCATGAGTTCCAGACTAGCCTGAGCTACCTAGTGAGTTCTAGGCCAGGCAGAACTGATATCATAGGAAGACTTTGTTTTAAAAAAAAAGAAAGAAAAAGAAAAAAGAACTTCATACGGATGTTCATAGTGATTTTATTTCAAACAGTCAAAAACTGGAAACTAGTCAAACATCCTTTAACGGATGGTTGGTTAAATAATCTACTCAGCAGTAATAATGAATTGTTATATATGTACCAACTCAAAATAGAGCTCAAGGTCATTATACAGAGTGAAGAAAAATGCTAACCAAAATAATTCACATATTGCCTGGTTTTATTTATATAACATTTGTAAAATAGTATAACTATAGAGATGGAGAACAGATTCATCATTGGCAGGGCTTAGAAATGAGAGGAAAAGAGATTGATACGATTGTAAGTGAGTACTCTGAGGGGGCTTTGTGGCAATTCTACAGTTGAATATATTGATTGTATTGTTGACTATGTAAATCTATACATTGATAAAATTGGATTGACTGATACAGTGCATGTATAATTGTTAATATCTAAATAATATCTATGACTTGCACCAGTATCAGTTTCTTGGTTTTGATTTTTTTGGGTAACTTGTTAAAACTGAGGAAGGCTGGGGGAAGAGTACGCAGAATTTACGTATACTGTACATTTCTGTCATTTTTTAAATTTCCTATGCATCTGTAATTCCATTAAAATTTTAAAAATGAGCAATTCATCTTCAAGCTCTCAACAGAAGGATAACAAGTTATATTTACATTCTGTGTAATATGCCTGACAACGGAGATTTCATATATCACAAGAGGAAACAGTTCTGTGCTGTACACCAATAGAGAATTTTACTCACTGCCATTTTAATATTGGTATGTTACTGGCCATTTATGTCCATATGTTCATTTGCTTGCCACTAACCAAAACAAATGAAGGTATTTATTTTGGGAAATGTTTCATTCAAAGCTAACTTCAAGGAAATGAAAGGACATCAATTGCTTCAAATCATTATCTCACTGTGTATATCATACATACAGACTGGGTTACAGACTTTTCTGTTGGCATTGCTTAAATATGCTCCAAATTGAATGAATAGAGTGAGTCAGTATTTCAAGGACTCACTGTGGTATGGAAATAGATATTTCATGAAGGAAAAATGGTCACCTAAAATGCAATGGACACAAGGGAAACAACTAATAACATAAGTAGAATGAATGAATGAATGAATGAATGAATGAGTAAACCTTGGTAGGCAGGGCCACCTGAGAATCCATGGTAGGCCAATGCCTACCAGGGCCTTGAGTGTATAGACAGTTCAGAGACCCTAGACCTATAGAATCGCATGGCTCCACCAGGCTCTGCCCTAGAGGATGCTCTCTGTAGTGGCTTTGCTCTGACAGTAGCCAACTCTCTGGGACCCATTTCTGGGTCCAGGAGGCTCCATGTTTTGCAGTCAAGGCAGAGGGAGCCACACATCCCCATGGCTCATGTTTAATGCTGGCTGGTGGAGATAGCATCACATAGACACTGCCAGTGTTTACTGCCTCTCTAAAGGGGTGGCTACTGTAGCACTCACCTGAGCCCACTGGAGCCATGTCTGGGATGACTGAGGTGCATTGTACCAGGACACAAGGAGTGGAGACTTGAGGTATTGTGGACAGCAAATGCCAAGATCCTTTGGGCACCTGAGGGACCTCTTAGTATACAGTTTTGTCCCACAGACGTTGGCACTCTCAGACTCCGATAGGGTGGTAGTCTTGATCACTGAAATGACATTGGAGTCATCCTTAGTAAATAGCACCTGGCTTGTACTGATCTATAAATAATGATCTCCTTTTCAGAAGATAGCTTGATCACACCCTTGGTATTCTCTCCCAAACACTTTTTTTATTCTTTTAAATATGGCCAACTTTACTAAGAATTTCCCAAATCTTTTAGTTTGGCTTCCTTGTTGATCATAAATTTCATTTCTGACTCTAGTCTTTTATCTCATGTTTTATTGTAAGGGGTTAAGAGAAGCAATGCTTCTCCTTTAATTCTTTGCTTAGTTATTTCTTCCACCCAAAATCCTATTTTATTGCTAACAAGTTCCTCCTTCCATAAAGATCCAGACATGAGCATACTTAGCCACATCCTTTGCGACTTGGTAAGTGCTATACTCCAGATCACATTAGCATAGCTTTCACTGTTCATATGTGTACCAACATTCTGCTCATTGCCTCTTAGATAATATCTAATAAGACTAAGGCTTTTTCTAGAACTCTCCTCATCTACTGAGCCCTCATCAGAATTATATAGTACTTTGCCTATGGCAATGTAGCTTTTTTCTAGCCTTCACCTAGAGCCTCTACTGATTACTCAAGTCCAAGGCTGGTTTTAGTTTTATGTGTTTGTTACAGCAGCATTTATAGGCACCAATTCCTGTCTTAGTGTATTTCAGTTGCTCTAACAAAATACCATAAACGGCTAATTTATAAACAATAGAAATGTACTGCTCACATTTCTGGAGACTGGGAAGTTTAATGTTAAGGTACCAGCATATCTGGTGTCTGGTGAGGGCCTGTTCCTCATACATGAAGGCAGAGCCCTCACAACAGTATCTCTTTCTCAAGGCCTGCTTATTAGGATCATCACCTTGGGGTTAGATGCTAACATACAAATTCTAGGGTGACAGATACAACCAGACCACAAAAATGTGTATCCTTGTATTGTTTTTGTCTTAGGGGAAAGTTGTCTTAGGCGAAAAGTATTGTCTTAGGGGAAAAGTTCCTAAATTTTCATCACTGAGAACGATGTTAGCTGTAGCTTTGTGATATACAGTCTCATGAATAAGTACTTTCCTCTTATACTAATGTGTTGAGTTTTTAATGTAAGATGACTTGGAATTTATCAAATTCTTTTCCCTCATCTATTGAGATGGTTTTATGGTTTTCGTCCTCTCTGTAAATGTGCTGTATTTCATTTATTAATTTATGTTGAACCATCCTTGCATCTCAGAGATAAAACTCATTTGATCATGGCAAATTATCCTCTTAATATGCTTCTAAATCTGGTTTTATTAAGATTTTATTTAGTACTTTAGCATTTATGTTCATCAGAGATATTACTCTGTAAATTTCTTTGGTTGTAATGTGCTTATCTGGATTTGGTATCAGGTGATGGTGGCCCTGTAAAATGGTTTTGGAAATATGCCTTTCTCTTCATGTTTTGGGAAGACTGTGAGAAGGATCAGTATTAGTTCTTTAAGTGTCTGGTATCCTTTGTTGATATGATGTGTATTTTGAGCCATAGGAGGAAATCTAGGTGGCAGTAAAAAGAGCAGAAAGTTGCATGTTTGCATGATGGAAATGAGAAATCCAGAATGAAAAGGTTTGTGGAAAATATGAATAGAAGCTAAGGTTTTTTTGTTGTTGTTGTTTTTGTTTTGTTTTGTTTTTGAAGGCATCTTTATACTGATATCAATTTTTCCATTACTTTGTCCTTCAAGAGGACAAAGTAATTTCATATACTGTTAGTACTGCACACATTTTATATGAAGATAATTGTCACAGCTCTAACAATATAGGTAGTACTAAATGTCAGATTTCTTAGCATTACCTGAAAATGACCCCAAAATTCCAACTCTGCAATGGGATGTGTATCTATAGTCCGCTTCCCTCACCCTCCAGTCCAGAGGATGGGGCACGACACATTAATACTGACAAAATTTTAGACAAAAAAGAGTCAGATTTCTGACTTTCATTTATGTAAACAATATATAAAAGCAGGCATATTAGAAACCAAAGGAAGATGAGCTGCAAAACTGAAAGTACCTGTCATGTAATGAGAAAAAGTATATAAACACAGTTGTGCCATTTTTAAAATACCCTGGAGACTTAAATTTATTTAAAAAAACCAGTGTGTATGATGGAAGTGAATATGTAAATTATGGGTTTTATGGCTTGTATCACTCAGTCACCAGTGGGGCTTTCTGGAAGTGGTTGAATCTAAAGTGTGTGATGCTGGAACCCAGGATGCAATGCTAAGATTAAGGGTGTAAGTGCTACCCACCCTAAGGGTGAGCAGTCTGGATAAAATATAAGGGACACAAAGAGGCTTGTTGCTTACTGTCCTCTGCCTGCCATGAACTGGTTTTCCTCTGTGAAAGCCCTCCGGTATACCACTCTACCTCAGAGCCAGCCAACTATGAACTGAACCTCTATGAACTGAATCTGTGAGCCAAATAAACCTTTCCTCCTTTAACTTTGGGGGTTGGGTATTTTGTCTCAGCAATGAGAAAAGAAACTAAGACAATAGCCCAATAAAATTCTTTCAAAATACCTGGGAGACAAAAACCTCCCCATTTTCCAGTTACATGGATTTTAGAAAATATGTGTGGTCCCCTACTGATAGCAGCCATTTGACATGTAATTTACTTACTTCACTGATGATGCAAAAATAATATAACTTCAGTAAAACTGTACTTTGAACTTTGACTTTGATCTTTCTTCTGACTGGCAATATTTCATCCCATAGAGTCTCCTGATGCTGGGATGTGGTAGAAAATCACAATTCCTAGTCAAAAATGCAAAAAAGGGAAAAATTCTATAAATTATTATGTTGCTAACCTATGATGTACAGCAAATTAGGTGTATTAAATGAACTTTAAATTTATGATATTTCAGAACATTATTCCATTGTAAGTTAAGGAGCTTCTGTATATAGATACAAAGTAAGAGTCAATTACAATAAAATAGAAATAGGCAATTTGTTATGTATCCTAGATACCTAATTCAAACAAATATCTTACATAGCTATTCTTTAATATGGGTAAAATACGCTACTGTGGAAATGAAATTATTAATGAAATGGCAGATATCATTAGAACTCTATTGAAGGATAAATATGTACTTAATCTATTTTTAATTTTTCTGGAATATTTACTATGACACATACATTTAGTAATTTGCAGCTTATAAAACCAACCTAGTAATCGCCTTCACCTTGCCAACACATTTATTTGTATGGAAAAACACAGTGGTATTTCCTAAATATGTGCAGTATTTTCCACCTAATTAGTACCTCAGGGTAGGTTGTTTATAAACAGAAAACAATAAGGATCATGTTATATATCCCTGTAGTACTCTCTGTACACCATCAGGTTTAGAAATAAGGAAGAAAGATTACGTTTTAAAAAATAAGAAAGCTAGCTACCAGACTGTCATTATGGACAAGGGAACTGACTAGAATAACATGATCTATAAAGAAATAATATTGTCTATAGCTTCATATACTGGGGAAATATAGTTCTTGTTAGCTTCAAATCAGAAATATGCTTAGAGGGCAACATGGAAATATAAAGAATATACTCTTGTTCTTAATATTATTTGAAAAGAATGCTACTAAAAGTATTTCATCCTTGATGCTAAATAGGTCCCAACTATACCCACCGTTCATCTTCCAACAATCACTTGCAAGTGACTACCTAATATTGTACTCATTCGCTGGGATCATTATAGAAATCAGCAACTAATAAGGGAATATCTGGCTCAAGAGACATTTAACAGGTTGCAGAGGATAGCATGTTTCACATTCAGATGAGGTTGCCATCTGGTGGAAAAACATAGGTTAAGCAAAGCAAATTTTTTGTAGGTGGTTCATGTTACTACTTTTAGAAAACATAGTCTTTGTTTTACACAGTTAGTGAGTGTCTATTTTTTTATTTTTACTGAACGAATGGCTGTTCATTGTATCTAAAGTATGAAAAAAATATCAGGAAATAGAGTATACTGAAGTTTCAGGTTTAAAAGTTAATAAATAAATATGACTTTTAAATTTACCAAGATCTTGTTAAATTGTTTTACATTTTACAAATACTTAGAAAGTTAAGTATGATGGTGCACACCTGTAATTCCAGCACTCTGGGATGCTGAGGCAAGAGAATTGCTGGTTAAAAGTCCAGAATGGACAATTTAGCAATTTACACCCTTTCTCAAAACAAATGAAAATAATTAGGTATATGTATGTAGAGTGATGGCACTGTATTAAATTTCCCAGTACTACCAAAAAAGAAAATCCTAGAAGTATGATCTATGACATCACATAGGTTTTCTTTTAGATATAAAAATGACTTTTGGTGTCTATTTCTTTAATTGATGTTCTTGTCATGAGGATTTAAGATTAGGTATATACGAAGACTAACTGGGTCAATCTCCAACTGCTCTAGTATAACATAATTGATTCAAATGTCACCACCAATCTTCTCTAGTTTCCTTTTTGTCTCCCTTATCTATTAAAGACTCTAAATACAGCTTTCACATATTAAGGGATGATATTTGTCCTTTAGAAGACATGAAATAGATCAAAATAGTGTAATAAGAAATCAATCACTTGTGTCTACATGGGGCCAGTTACCTGAATTCTGGTAACATGGACATCAACCAGTCATCTTTGGATTATATATTGTTTGTTAATAATAAAAAAGAGTGTAATGATTAAGCTCAATTGTCAACGTGAGTGACATGTTACATGAGTGATCTAGCAAAACACACGAGTGTGTCTGGGTGGATTGTAGAGGCATGACTTTGGAGTCTGTATCTGGCCCCTGACTCCAGCTTCTCAGGTCCTGTTCCCTTGTTCTGCTTCCCAGCAATCACCTAACTAATTAGCTTTGTTCTGTCATACCCTGCCACCATTACGTTCCTGCCTTGGAGCCTGACAACCATAGACTGAATCTCCTATAACCACGAGAAAAAATAAACCCTACCATTTTTAAGTCGCTATGTCAGACGTTTGGACCTATAGTGAAAATCTGACAAATACAAAAAGCAAGTAGAGAGACCAGGCAAGGTGATACATGCTTGTAATTCTATCATTCTGAGAGGCTAAGGCAGGAGGACCACAAATTCAAGCCCAGACTGGACAATTTAGTGACTTACACAGAACTAGTCTCAAAATAAAAATAAATAAATAAAATAAAATAATAAAAGTTTCAAAGAGGCTGGGAATGTAATTCAATGTAAAGACCTTGGGTTAATTCAAACTCTGGGAGGAAAAAGGAAAAAGGAAAGAAAAGAAAAGTAAATAGGACTACAGAAGTCATTCAGTGATAGAGGCTTGCCTAGCATGCGCCTGTCTCTGGATTTGATCCCCAGCACCCCAAAAATAAACAAACATTTAAAAAAATAAAAAGAAGCAAATAGAAAAAGAATATAGGCTCAAGTTAGAGCTGGATGAAAATCTTATCTCTGCTACTTTTGGGTTATTTTTCCTTTAGAAATTAATTCTCCAGAGCTTCATTTCTCAGCTTAAACTAAGAGATATCATAGCCTATGATTGGACCATTTAGTGATTGAGCACCTACCAATTTGTAGGGCTTTTTACGCACCTCAGTTAGATGTGACTCATTTTTCAAAAAGTATGTATCTCTCTGAGTTTGTATAGTTGTCATGCTAATTTCTGCCTTAAAGAAAAAAAAAACTGGCATTGTATCTTTTCCACACCAAAGATTTCAATTAATACTACCATGTTTGCATGAAATAACCTACATAAAAACTAGTTTAAAACAGATGAATGAGCAAACAAATACATAATACAGCAATTTAATATAAATGTAGTAACTATTCCTGGAAGTATGAAATCTCTGATGCGGAAGTGATGTTATATGGATGGCATTTCTGACTTAAGATGAAATTTCCTTGTCAGAAAGATGATGCAAATAGTTTTGTGTTTCAAAAATAAAAACCTTAGAAATTAGGATAATGAGCTTTGAAAAAGAATTAAAAATATTCTAGTGATGATGCAGAAGCTGATGCTGATCATGCATGTGAATAATTAAAGCAAAATTGTTTCAGAAAATGAAGAAGGAAAGCAATACAGCTAAATTAGTGTATTGCTATAGTGTAATTTAAAATAATTCTTTGGTACAATAACATTTTAAATGTCATAAATAGGTATTTGACTCATTCATTTATATCACAGAAAGGTATTACAATCTGTTGACAAAAAGTTTTTAATATCTTACTGAAGTTTTCTTGTATTCAAGGACATACATGATGTGCCAATACTAGTCTATCTCTAGCTTAACACTTTCTCTTGAATTTCAGACTCATATAAAACTAACTTCTTGACTAGCATATTCAACAAGATAGAGAAGAGGCATATGGTTACAGACTAGGGTTAAACAGGCAACATTCAATTCCTGACTTCATCATTTACTAGTTCTTTACTATTTCTGAGCCTCAGTTTCTTCATCTATAAAATGGTAATAAAACTGTAAAAAATACTGCCCCATAGCACACATGGCTGAAATGAATCTAGTAAACACTTAAATTATGCATTCTATTAAAAGAAACATACACATATTTCTTTGAAACCTGAAATTTTTTTCGTAGTGTGCCACAGCTGGCAGTCATTCTTGTAAGACTTATACTTGAACTGATTTTGTTTTATAAATGCTGTAGAAGACCAGCATGGAAGAAGGCACAAAAAGAACATGCATTTCATGTATTTGGTAATGTTAGCCACACAATTGATTCTATTTATATTACAAAATGGAAAAATGGAAATTTAGCATTTATACCATCTGAGGTCTCCACTGCACCTTTAGCTTTACCCTTACATCTTTACATATCAAGAGTACACTGCTTGGTCTCCCAGGCCTTTTGCAATCCAGGTGGAAGCTGCTTACCCCCAGAATTTGTGCCTTTTCCTTGAGGAATCATATGTGCAAAAATTGTTGAATGTGTTATTTCAACAATTTTTGCGCATGATTATTATATTGCTGAATTTTCTTATATGTTATGTAATAATAATTTACTTATAGATGCATTTTTAGAAGGCACAGGACATTAAAGTTTTTTTTACAGGACCACATAAGTGAGTCTTAATTTTAACAGGGCCTATATAGTAGCATGGGGAGACAGAGAGCCCTTTTGGTCTAAAGTCAGAATGTTAATTTTTTTTTTTATGAAATATTTGTGATCCAAAGAGAAGAAATTTTTATGGGAAAATGGTAAAACAAAATTCCATAATAAAACAACACAACAATACTTAATAATTGCATAGTATTATCTTTTAAATAGTAATTCAGAGTGTAAGATATGGGTATTAAAATTCTCTCCAATCAATATTAGCATAAATGTTTCCTTACAATGAACTAAGAGACACTAATAAAATCACTTTTTCCCTTTTTCGCTTTTCCCTATCCTAGTTCCCTTTTCCCTTTGAAAAATTTCTTCCCATTTCACAATATCTATTGTATATTTTGGACCTTATGTACTCTTTCAGTTTCTCACACCAGGGAGACAATATGATGCTTACACATGTGAATCTGATTCATTTCACTTATGATTATCGTCTCAAGTTACATCCATTTACTTAAAGAAGACTCAAGTTTATCCTTCTTTATGGCTGAGTAGTACTCTTTTGTATACAAATGCCACACCTTTTTTATCCATTCCTTGGCTGATGGGCATTTGGGTTGCTTCCAAGACTTAGCTATTACAAATTATGCTACCATAAACATCAGTGCATATATGTCACTGTGGTATATTTTTAATTTTTCTGGGAAGATA